ATCAGGTGGACTGTGTGCCTGTTTGTCACCTATTCCATAAAATTCTATTCTATAAAAAATACGAGGAGTGTTCTGCGCTTAACTTCTAAACTACCACGGCTCTGGATTTAAAGGTGTTTTATTTTAAAACTTATCTTTTATAAAAAAGTATTTCAGACTTCAAATAAATAAAAAAAATATTTACACATAACAGCTTCGAAAGTCGCTGAGAAAACAAAGTGTATAGAATAATTGAGAAACCGACTGCAGAAGCCAGCATGATGAGGATATAATTTAATTATTTTTAATTATTTGAAGAAGGCTTTGCTTTTCTATACAAAAAATTAATGTTTTGACCCTTTTGGTAACTAAAGAATATCACAAACTAAAGTAACAAATAGAATGTCCTCTAAATATTTACATATAGCTATATTCTCTATTCAACCACCCCGAGGGAAATTTTTCACCAATTATATTTATCACATTATTATGGAACATATTTTATGAAAAAGGATCATTAAAAGCTATTCGTAAATGACGAAGACACCGTGTTACATACATAGGAAAAAGAATATCATCGAATTTAGATCCTATTTTTTCTCAAAGTCGACTAAAAAATAAATTTATAAAGTGAAACGAAAGTGTTATTTCTGAGGGGTTCACGTAACGTAACGTTACAATGAGGAAACGAGCTTTTATTACAATTTCGATAATAAAAGCTATACTGGCGAATTTTCACGTAGCTCACCAGCAAATCCCGCACGAAACAAACATAAACGTCACAATCACTTTCCGCGGGTACGATGAGGTGATTATATAAGCAGTTACTTCTATTGAACTCGTTTAAGAAATGTAATGATATATATAGGTGTTTTTAACAAATCAGTGTCGTGTGTCAAATCAATTTTTACATATTATTTACCACAGGAGTGTTCTGAGTAATTGTTTGGATTAATTACATTTCACCAATGCATAATGCGACACAACTATTATCATACATAGCATCAAACACCGTCTGGTTGGTTGGCAACCACTATGCAATTTACTAGGAGTTTTTTTCCTCGCACAATTTTTTTGCGAAATCGTTAACCACCGGCGATTTTTCCGGACCGATATGAATTTCGACTTTCAAGAAACGGGCGTACTTCTTTTTAAAAGATCGCCAACGGACCTGCATTTTCCGTGGTGTAGTTGTTCATGGGGGGCGATAGTCATTTACCATCACGTGAGCCACCAGTTCGTTTGCCCCTCTTTTATAAAAAAAGAAATCAAATCATATATCATTTATAAAAAAATAATCACCTGATTGTAAGTCGCCATTGCAGGCAATAGACACCTGCAACCAACTTCAAACATACAAGGATAATATCCTTGCTGCTTATAAATTTATTTATTTAATCTTCATTGTAGTACACCTTAACCTAAGGCTTACAAATTATGTAATTAATACCTTATGGAATTTTCTACCAGTCAACAGTATTTCATGCCAGCACATCGCTTGCAACTTTACAAAGCGCAAGTTAAACCTCACATGGAATACTGTTCTCATCTCCATTCACCCTAGTGGCAGCTCTTTCCACTTGACCGCATCCAACGCAGAACCACTTTAATCGTCGACGACCAAGTTCTTTCTGATCGGCTCGATTCACTGGCGCACGTAGGGTTTTTTGCATTCCTTTGCGTTTTCTATCGCATCTACTTCAGAGAGTATTCTAAGGAATTGTTCAGATTAGTTCCAACCTCCAAATTTGGCGGCGGCGGCGGTAGTCAATTAACATTAGGTGAGCCGTATGCTCGTTTGCCCCCTCTTTTATTAAAAAAACCCTGGAAGAAGTAGATGGCCAAATAGCTTTATCTGTTATAATTAATCCTCAACTTCTTCATCAGCCCATCACTCATCACTCTATCTATCATAACTCTCCCATATAAGGAATTCTTTTCCGTAACCGACGAATTGAATCGAATTGATTGACGATCTTAGTGCCAGACGTAGAGACCTTTTAAGGCACTGCCCGTCGCCGGTCTGAGTGTTTTACACCTGGCGTGTTGTTGTTATTAGATTTATCGTATCGGTCGATACCATATAGTAACGGTCATTAAATTTTACTAGTTATACCGCCATCTATCGAAGTCATTAGATTTTTCTCACAGTCATCTCTTACGATACCCGCAAATGTAAAAGGGGTGATGATCTGTTTTTAGAATTGTATCTAAACATACAATTATAAAAAATGTATTTTCCTCTTTTGTGTTGACAAAATGTAAGGAAAATGAAAATATTATTATGTTAGGAGACTATAATGGAAGGGTTGGGGTGAAGAGGTCTGGTTATGAAAGGATATTGGGAACTTTTGGTGATGAAAGTATAAATGAGAATGGTGAAGACTTCCTCACCGTATGTGTGGAAAAGAATCTTTTTGTGACGAATACTTTTTTTCGTCATAAGAAGATTCATATGTATACATGGGAAAAAGGTGATGATAGAAGCATGATAGATTTCGTAATTGTGGATGAAAGAATGAGGAGCGCAGTCGTAGATACAAGGGGTTTACCGGGAGTCCAACGTAGGGACGGATCATTACTTGGTCTTATGTCGAATTAATGGTCTTTTCAAGCGTTGGCGGCATCGGACATCTGTATTTACCACTGCGTTACAGCGTATAAGAATAGAGAAGTTATAAGATGAAGATGTGATAGAGAAGTATAAATCGTTGACTTGGATGAACAGGGTATCAACTCAAAAATTTCGACTTTTGACTTATATACACAGTCTTAATAAAAAAATCGAGATCTTTCTAACGAACAAGGTCTTACAACGATCGGAGGTAAAATGGCGCGGGGGGAATGGTAGTATATCCGTCTTTTTTGCGCATTTAGGCCTTAAGCTTTGACCAAGATAGTCTTATTCGGTCTTACGCGTGAAGCTAGAGAGGAAGGTCGCTGTTCGTTTCGTGAACACGGTATTAAAACCAAAAAGTGTTGTGTTAATTATAAGGTAAGTTTATTTTTAAAATATTTGTTTATAAAATAAAGACGAATTTTGTCATAAAACCTTCTTTACGATAATTTTTTATTAAATTATTATGGTTATTTTACAGTATAGGGTACTTATTTGAGATACTATTATGTTGCTCAAAGATTAATAGAATTAGTGGTTATTTATTTCTAAAACAAAGGCGAATTTCAAGATAATAGCCTCTTAGGATAGTTTTTAATGTAATTATTATTGGTTTTTATAGAGTTTATGGAACTTATTTTAGATACTATTAAGTTGCTCAAAGTTTTATCGAATTAGTTGTTATTTATTTCTAAAACAATGGCAAATTTGGAGATAATCATGAGATAATACTGTTTTTTTACGGTAGTTTTGATTGAATTGTTTAGGTACTTATTTGAGATACAGGTATTGTTATTCAAAGTTTTATACACTTAATAATTTTTTATTCCTTTTTAATTAAAAAGCATGAATTATTTTAATGTTAGAATAACTTTTGTATTGGTTAGTTTTGTAGTAGGTTTTATTCGGCAGTTATTTCTAATGTTTCGTTATTGTTCAGAAAAAAGTATAACTTTAGGGCTTTTTAGGTAAACTAAAGTGTTATTTTGAACATAATGATTTGAAATTGTTTCTGTTTTAACTTAAATTAGCTTTGTATAATAGAAGTTACTAATTCAATGTTATCTTGTAGAATGATGCCACAACGACTATTGAAAATAAGGAATTTTAATAAACCACCTGATTCAAGAGATCAGAGAGAATCAGATGCTGTTTCTAACAAAGAAATACTGAATCTGTCTAAAGAAGGTAAGTTTTATTGTTCAAAATTTGTGTGTAATCGAATTAATTATAGTAGTCATTTTACGTCATTTGTGAAATATTTATCTGTTAATATTAAGAATTGTTCTATTTTTGTGAGAGTCAAATTTTTATTTTTTTACTCGTAAATTTTTTAGATAAAGAAAATTGTTCAGTGATAAACCAAGAAACTTTAGTTATTAAAAATGACATACTGTACGTCACTCAACCCAATCCTGAAGAGTCAGTGGCTACACAATATAATTGTACTGATATGCTGTCTGTTACTCAATCCAATGTTGAAGAGCCAAGGGCGATAACTTCTTATTGTACTGACATACTGTCTGTCACTCAATCCAATGCTGAAGAGCCATTGGCTACAAATTCTAACAGTACTGACAACTTTGAAGAATCAGCTGAAGGTACCGAAATTATTTGAAAAGTTTTATTATTGATTGCAATTAATTAGGCACTGGTTTAACAAATTAATTGATTTAGAATCGTATTAATTTAAAATGTGTCTTTATTATAGTGACAAATAAAGAAAATTCCGATAAAAATAATGTCACAAAACCCAATGTTGAAGAACCATTGGCAACAAATTCTTACTATCCTGACAACGTTGTAGAATCAGCCGAAGGTACCGAAATAATCATTATGTTGATACTAGGTATTATTATTGATTGCAACTACTAATCGTTTGGTTTTCTAGATAAAGATGTTACTGACCGAGGCCGTACTGACTCCTCATGCTCATCCTCATCAAGTTCATCTACATCTTCAAGTGAATCTAATGAAAACCAAGGTAATTTTTTTATTTTATTGCTACCTTACAACGGTTTTTAATTTGCAAACTAAATGCATCATATATTTTTTAAACCTTAAGAGTATATAATTATAATACAATATTTATTCGTTTTTTCGTAGATCCCATATTTCCTGGAGTTAACTCTGATGACAGCGTTAAGGATCCGGATTTTTCTTCATCTTCAGATACTTCATGTAGTGACTCGGAATCTAATGATAATATACATACTTCTCCTGTGACTTCACCATCGTTACTTGAAGGGGTGCAATTGCCAAAAAACACTCGTAAAAGACAAAGAAATGAAAAAATTGGTTACGTGTTAAGGCAAAAAGACTCAGAAATTCTGGGAAATCTTATGTTACAAAAACCAACAAAGTGAAGCCGGCAAAGAAGATTGGACCTCCTTGTACCGAAAAATGTCGTCAAAAATGTTTGTCTAAAATACGAGAAGAAATGAGAATTAGTATTTTCCAAAACTTTTATCGACTCTCTGATTTAGATAGGCAAAGGCAATTTATAGTTAATTGTATCGATATTGTCAAACCTAAATATCGCTATACAAACGCTGCTACGCCTCGTCAAAACAATTATGCATATCATTTCATAATTGAAGGAAAGACGATTCGCGTTTGCAAACAATTTTTTAAGTCAACACTTAGTATCAATGACAAAGTCATAAAAACAGCACTGAAAAAGAAAGACCCTAATACAAGCAACGTGGTTACAAGTGACTTAAGAGGTAAACATGGAAATCACCTTAAAATACCAGAATCGGTTAAATTTGAAATACGCGAGCATATAAATTCTATACCTACAATAGAAAGTCACTATTGTCGTAGTACTACACAAAAAAAATACATTGATGGAGGGCGGTCTCTAGCGCAATACTACCGCGATTATGTGGACAGTTGTAAAAATCAAAACAAGCCGTTCGGCAATTACTTAGCTTACCATGGTATCTTTAATAATGAATTTAATATTGCATTTCACTCGCCAAAAAAAGATTTGTGCGATACATGTGTTGCCTTTGATAATGCCACAGGTGAAGCCAAAGAAAATTTACGATCCGAATACGAAAAACATCATGCTCAAAAAGATATGTCCAGAAAAGAAAAAGAGGCTGACAAAAACAGTGTAAATACCGTTATTGTAGCGGTTTATGATTTACAGGCGGTTTTGCCTTGTCCCCGTGGTGATGTTTCTACCTTCTATTATTTATCTAAATTAAACGTTTTTAATTTCACAATATATAATTTAAAAACTAAAGAAGTAGAATGCTATGCGTGGCACGAAGGAGATGGCCACAGGGGAGTGAATGAAATTGCTTCTTGTATCTGGAAGTATCTAGAAAAACTTGTCAATAATGCGACAGAACCATTTCATATGGTTTTTTATAGTGACAATTGTTGTGGGCAGCAGAAGAATAAATTCATGTTGCACACCTATCTGCTAGCTTTAAGTAAGTTTCCTAAATTATTGTCAATAAGTCATAAATTTTTGATAAAGGGTCATAGCGCTAACGAAGGCGACAGTGCCCACTCTCTTATTGAAAGAAGAATAAAGGCATCACTAAAATCTGCTGCAATTTATTCACCAGATCAATATTATTATTTGATACGTTCGGCAAAAGTAAGAGGCAAGCCCTTCGTCTTAAACGAATTGTCATACAACTCATTTTTCGACATTAAAGCTATGTCTGACCAGATAAGTAAAGCATTGCCATCAAAAAATACTACCAATGGACTTGTTAAAATAACAGAAATGAAGATCATTAAATTGTCAAGTGAAAATAAAGACTCAATTCTATACAAGACATCCTATTTGGATACAGATTTTAAAGAGGTTAAATTGGTCAATATAAGGCGTCGCAACCAACCAAATTTAAAGAACATTGAACTTCAGCAGCTGTATACAGAAAAAATTAAAATACCTGAACAAAAAAAACAAAAATTCCTAAATTTAATTGACAAAAATATTATTCCTCAATATTACAGAACTTTTTATGAAACTCTGTAATATTTATTGATAATTATTGCTTACCTATTACTTTCTTCGTTGTTTTTGTACTGGTTAACATTACTCTCATTTCTTCATAGATAAGCTAAGAAGTAACAAAGCCATTTTATGGTTAGACGGGTATATTTTTAATGTTATTTTTACCTAAAAGACTTTAATCATAATGCCAAATATTTTGAATGAATCATATTGCAAGCTAATTTTGAAGATAATCCATATTCTACTGTAAAAGACTGTTAAAAGCGTTTTTTTGTGATTATGAAGAGTTACATAATGTTGAGTTTATAATAATTATTTTACGTGGTAGTTATGTTTTATTTGTTTGGTATTCGTTATTTTAGGATAAGATTAATGATGCAAAGCATATTGCACTGATTCCTGTTATTGTAGGTACTAACTAATGTCAATTATGAAGAGTTTATTTTATAATAACCATTTAATTTTGTAGTTTTTTTTCATAGTTTTCGATAATCTTTGTTATATAAAATAAGATTAATGGTATTGTTTAACTGATTCCTATTAGTTACTCTACCAATGTCAATCACGACAAAATATTAATAATACAGAGAGACTTGGTGTCAAAAAATTTGGTTATGGTAATGATTCTTAAGATTACCACGAGTTATATAATTTGTACGAAACAATAAAGACTTTTTATAACGATATTTTGGTTTTCAATCGGTATTATCATTGAAATAGTTCTAAAAGTTTAAGAAACAAGGTAATGTAATAGATTTTATTTTTTTTGAAACATAATAATTAAATTATTAATGTGAAAATAAATGCTAACGCTAAAATAATTACTAATTGCAACAAATTTCACAAAAAATATATGGATAATAGTAATGGAACCCCAGAATTCAATTTAATAGAAATAAATAAATTTGAGTTAAAACTTTGTTTTACAAATATTTTATGTTATAAAGGGTATTATTATACACCTTTCTGAATAATTTCAGGATTTTCTCAAAACCGCTTAACTAAAAATAAGTAAAAAGAATTGCGAAATATTTTCACATATATAGGCTTAAAATGTATATAGGTAAAGTCGGCTAAATAATAATAAAGGCTAAATTATTCCTGGATGAAACTTAAAAAATGCTCTCCTGAAAAATCACTGTTTTTGAGATAATACCCTATTCATCTGGACCGACGAAATGTAGACTGAGAGAAAATATTAGATGTTTGAATGAGTTGTGTATGAATGATTTAGACTTGAATACTGTGTGGGATAATATTAAGAAAGGTTTGGTGGATACCGCCACCGAAGTATGCGGTGTAAGTAAGAGAACAAATGAAAGGAAAAGTAATACGTTATGGTGGGATGATGAGGTACGGGTGGAAGTTGAATCAAAGAAGAAAGCATGGTTAGATTTACTAGCAACCAAAGCTGATAATTCTTCTGGTATGAATGATGAGATTGAAAGAAAAAAGGCAGAATTTAGACGTCTAAATAAGAGAGTAAAAGAAGTTGTTGAAAGGAAAAAGAAAGAAAGAACGGATAAGAATGATAGAAGGATATCTGATAATTTCCAGGCTAACATAAAAATGTTCTGGAAACTCGTAAGAACTGCCAGGGGAAATACAAAACAGCCTATAATAAATGCTATAAGAGACGAGAATGGATGTATTCTGAATGATGAAGTTTCGAATGTAAACAGATGGAAGGAATACTTTGAAAGCGTGTTTATGAGTGAAGAGTCGTATGAATTAAATGAACTAGAAATTCCGAAAGAAGTGGAAAGGGGTATGGAGATAAGTGTAGATGAAATAATGAAAGCAATGAAAAGCATGAAAGCAGGTAAGGCAGCTGGATATGATAGAGTATCACTCGAGATGCTAAGGGCTGGAGAGGGAGTGGTGGCAGGCCTGCTGTACACCTTGTTTAATTTATGTTGGGAATTAAAACGGGTACCGGATGACTGGTGTAAAGCAGTTATAGTACCAATATATAAAGGAAAAGGGTCACAGCAGGACTGCAAAAACTACCGCGGTATCAGCTTGCTTAGTATTGTGGGTAAACTGTATGCTAAGGTGTTAATTGAAAGAGTTATGAAAGAAACTGATGGAAAAATTTGGGATGTGCAAGCGGGTTTTAGAAAGGGAATGGGGTGTACAGATCAAGTCTTTTCCATGCGCATGATTGCGGAGAAGTTTTTGGCCAAAAACCAGAAAGTTTTTTGTGCGTTCATGGACTTGGAAAAGGCTTATGACAGAGTGGACAGGAATGTGTTATGGCAAACACTGAACTCATATGGGTTGAGCGCTGGTTTGATACAGGCATTAAGGTCTCTTTATAGGGACTCTAGTGCTTGTGTCAGGATCAATGGGGACTACTCGGACTGGTTTGGCATCCAAAAAGGTGTCAGACAGGGCTGTGTGGCTTCCCCTTGGCTGTTCAACCTATTTATGGACCGGTGTTTGCAAACTTTGAAAGATGAAGAATGTGGGTTAAGAATGGGCGAGTTAACCGTCAAATGCCTTTTGTATGCCGATGATCAAGTCATACTTGCGTCATCGGCGGCTGAGTTGCAAATGATGGTTACATTAATGAACTGGGAATTAAAAGAAAGGGGAATGAAAGTGAACGCAAGTAAGACGAAAGTGATGGTTTTTGAAAGAGAAGAAAGCAAAACGGTATGTGAAATAAGAATAGAAGGAGAGTTGATTGAGCAAGTGGATGAGTTTGTGTATTTGGGATGTGTATTTAGCAGGGATGGTAGATATGATAGGGATATAGAACGACGAGTAAATGCAGGGAATAGAGTGAATGGGACACTACACTCTATTATGAAGAACCAGAATTTATCAAAACAGGCACGTATGGTAATTCATAATGCTGTGTTAGTCCCTACTTTAATGTATGGTAGTGAAAGCTGCGTGTGGCAGAAGAAGCACGAAAGTAGAATAAATGCTGTAGAAATGCGGTCTTTAAGGAATATGCTAGGGTGTAATCTGAATAACAGGGTGAGAAATTGCGTGATAAGAGATAAATGTGGTATGCAAGATGATGTGACCAGGATTAAGAATGATGATGTGCTTCGGTGGTTTGGTCATGTAGAAAGAATGAATGAGGAAAGAGTGACAAAGCAAATTTATATGGCAGATGTGAATGGCCGAGTCGGGAAGGAACGCCCTAGGAAAAAGTTTATCGACCAAATTGGCGATATTTTGAAAATGGGCCACGTTAGAAGTACCCTTAACCGACGAGCATGTATGCGTAGATATATGGATGTAAAGGAGGCGAAAGAGGTATGTCAGGATCGTGCCAAATGGAAGTCCGTAGTCTCTGCCTACCCCTCTGGGTGACAGGCGTGAGTGTTTATGTATGTATTTTCCTCTTTTCTTTCTGAATAATATAAT